AGAGCTTATTTAGTTTATTGAATCGTATTAATCCACTTATATTTTATTAATAAATCATACATTATCCCTATAACATTAATCTGTTAAACTCGTAACCTAAAACCCAATTCATCATTATTGCTCTCCCATCGTATTTGAAATATTTATACATACTCCCAATTTATAATTATATATCCTCAACATTCTCTGTACTTATAAATTGATATATTGTTAATTCAATAGTTTTATTAACGTGAACAAGTTTTTAAAGTTATTAAATTAAGTTATTATCCTTTAGATACCTAAAACCTTACTATACGTATTGAAATCTATTTTTCAGTTGGTAGACTTCGTAATCGACTCGTATAACAAATTTGGTGCGGGTTGGGTAGATACTCAACAAAATTAAGTGGATTTACTAGGAATTAAAATTGAGATTTTAGTAAAAGTTAATGTCAAACGTTAAAGTTAAACTCAGACCATTATACACACCTCAAGGACTCCAGTTAGAATTGCAAATAAGGGTACTCAACAATCTTTTAGAGACAGCCAAAAGAGAAGACGTTGTAACATTTGCAACTATTCAAAGAATTCAAAAGGAAGTAAACGGAATTAAAGATTTTATAAGATTTCACAAGTTAAAGATTACAATCGACGAAATTCTTGAGTTTTTAAGTGAAAGATAGTATATGTTTAATCGATCAGAATATTATCAGAGAATAATCAAACATAGTGAAGCACACTTACAAGGAAATAATCAAGTATTAAAAGAGAATCCAGATCTATCTTATATCCATTGCTATCTGATAACATAACAACCTTCGGAAGAATTTGGAAGATTTTGGTATTTTTGGGTAGTTTATTTATTAAAAGGAGACTTATATACTAGTATTACTGAAAAGGCTTTTGATAAGGCAAGAGAAAACAAAGATAATTCTATAGTATTAAATCAGTGTTTTAAATTAATTATAACCTCCATAAGATATCACGAACTTGCACAAGAATCCTTTGAATACTTACTAAATATATTAGAAAACGAGTGGAGTAATTACTTGGAAACTGACAACTGGAAAATTGAAACATCGATAAAATCAGAAACTAATTCAAAATTAGTATCAAGGAAAAGTTCAAGAAGAAGTTCAAAAGTATCAAAAATGACTGGAAATAATGATGATATATTGGTTGATACATCCTCGCGTGATCAAAGTTCACCACCAAAAAATAGTAGTTATAATCCTTTACGTGATCTTTCAGAAAGCGATTTGAAATAGGCTGAACTCATGTACAAAATTCATGATGATACAGAATTCATAACTCATTATGAGAATGCAGTGAGTTCTGAAGAAAGAATAAAAATGTTGACATATCTCGCAAATAATAGTAGGCTCTTTAAAAGGAATTACGAACCTATTGTAGTTGAAGCAGCTCATCGCAGATATTATATGCTTTCTAATAAAAAGGATAGTCAGGATTATATAACTGGTGATAATTATGAAAGCAATATATCTGGTAGGGTTCCTCAAAATCAAATCGAATTAAATATTTATGCAATTTGAATTTGATTTATTTTTTCAAATCGAATCAAATCGAATCGAATTGAACTCAAATATTTGATCGAATTAATTTAAATCAATTTGAATTTGATCGAATCGAATCAAATTGAATCAAATATTTGTCAAATCAAATCAAATCAAATCA